AACTTTAACAAAAATATTGGTAATAATAACCTCAGCCCTTCTATATCCCAAAAACCTTTTATTAATTTTTTTTACCTTCATTAAATAACTGTATACATTATGAACATGGTTTCTTGGGCAGTACTTGTTTGTCCCCTGAACCTTTGATTTCCTACAATTATAGCCCCATTTTTTTTTTTTTTTTTACCATTTCTTTTAGTTTCATTGCAGCCATTATGAATCAACGCATATTCGGTTTCTTTGTTGATAGGGGCAGTAGATTTTGTTTGCTTAGATCAAAATATTAGGGATTAAAAACACAACTTATGCACAGTACTTTTGCTTGCCTAACTAGGTTCTTCCAGAGTTCCTGTTCTACTTTTGTTCCCATCCCATGTGCCCAAGTCTTATCTCCTGTTTAAGCAATTATCCCAGCTGCTGAAGGAAAAGAGGGACTATCTCCCCATTCTTCATACAACAATCCTCCCAACATTTACATTGCTAAGTACCTCAATAAACATATGAAGAATGACTGTACAGAAACATACGATAGGCAGTGAGAGGTAGGAATGCAGAACTCATCTGCATGTCTAGTGTTGATCTTTTTTGCAAAGTGAAACTTAGTATATGAAAGAAAGATTAGGTAGGAGTTATGCATGCCAGCAACTTGTTACATACTTGTCGAAGGTCAAGTGAAGGATCTGTTGAAGATATGTTTGAAAGTATGGATTGTGCTTCTAGTAGTTCACCTGATATGCTCTCCAAGATTGCATCTTCACTGGCCAAAAGAGACGCCATTAGTTTTGCACCAGCCATCTTTTCCTGATGAACAATAAAAAGAAACCAAAAATACCAGCTCAAGTTAGTAACAAGAAGAAATAAAGGAAATGATGAGAGAAACAAAGTGCAAGAATGTTTTTCTAATAAGAAAATTACCAAAAAGATTTCCAATGACGAATCGAGCATAATATATGAAATTAAAAGGGAAGAGGGGTAAATTTGCAAATATATTACATGAAAGAAAATACCAATAATGGAACTATAGGGCTTATACAACATACTATTGGGCCAATAGGAAGCATTGTAGCTTATAAGCAAATAAGTAACCACTAATACAAATTTCTTATTCACCCCCCCTTTTTTTCTCCCGCCTTCTCAAGTCAAGCAATGACAATCACATTGCAGGTAAAAGGACAGAGAAGCCCTTTTGCAGGTTCAAGATATTGAAAGCTAAAGCATGATTTGGAATGGCTACCTAACAGAAATTGCACATTGCGAGGTTTTGGTACCTTTTCTGATCCATTTCCAAGAAACTTGAGAGAGATTTTGAGAAGATCAGATGAATGAGGTAGAATGGCAGACTTCAAATGGTACACAGCTGAGAACATAATCTGGATGCAAGCAGCTCTGATCTCAAGGTATGTTATTACCTGTGCAAAGCAGAATACGTGGATAGGACCAGTCTTTAAGTGTTTAATTCTAGAGCAATTAAAACCTAAAAGATGCCTCAATGAATCTAACAGTGAACTCACCTCAACAGCACGAATAAGATGTGGAAGAACCTTTTGAGCAAAGGGTTTTTTGCCAGAGTCTGAGATCTTCTGACACGCACTGATAAGAACATTAGCCATGCATAGGCGAAAGGAGAGAAAAATTGTATCCCCTATTTCACAAATTTCACGGCTTGACTTGGAGCTAGGGATAACTTCACCCTTATCATGTATTAATTTATTAATGACATATCTATGGACTAGATTTCTTGAGGCATCATCCCCTATAATTTGAAATGAAAAATCATATTAACATTCAGTAGAATAAGTACTTAGGACATAAAAAACAAACCAAACTCACCACTCTTGCTAACAATATTGTCCCTCTTTGAGATGCAGTCACTAAATGATTGAGGAGCTTGCAGTTCAGCACATATCATGAGTGCCAGACAATCTATGCATCCATGCTGTGCTTTGGAAACTGAGAGAAGAAAATATGGCATCCATACACCTCAATAATTATTTAACAGGGTTGATAAACTTTTGGAAGACTCAAGTAGTTTGCATGGTTGAATACCTTCATCCCCATCTGAAGAAGGCCACAATAGGATCATTTCTAGTGCTCCTTGGATTTCAAGCATAACAGGATGAATGAGTGAATCTCTACCTCTTGCCTAGAAACCAGAAGTAACATTAATGTTAGCTCCAGCATTAAATGGCAGAAAGAGCAGACCATAGAAGGTAAAAATTTTCTGTAAATGCAGGACTAGAATATGAAATGGCCAATCAGAGTTAGCTACCAAGAGGAAAAAGATGATTACCACAAGGGAGGTACAAACTGAAAAAAGACAAGCTTTGATCTTCAGTATGTCCTGAGAACCTGTTGCATGTCCTAATTGGGAGCATATGATAGGAAGAAGAACCTAGAAAACATAAAAAGGTGTATTTAAGAATAAGAAAGAACATAAATATACATGAGCATAGTCAACAACAAATGAGAAAGCAAATAAATACTTGCACACAGAATTCTCAGTATTATATCACAGAATTTTATTTAACTATTACAAATTGAGTGCAATAACTCAGAGAAGCCTTTTTTTTTTTATGCCTAATTTCCAGGATACCATAAAGTATTAGGCTGAAAACAGTGCCAAGAAAGAAACAGAGTTTCCAACAGGATTTCAGTCAGCAAATTTTAATACCAAAGAAAGGTAAGATAAAATAACATCAGTCTTCCAAAATAGTCAAGGAAGTTAAAGTCACAGTTAAGTACATGAGGATGAATGCGCCCACAAAGCTCAGCGGCAAGCTTTCTTACGTCTTCAAACTCGACCTTAGAAAATGCCCTGAAAATGGGAAAGCAATAACGTCAATGTCAATCAGGTTATGGCTGATCAACAAAAATCAGGTTACAGAAGCCTGATAATGCTTATGTTTAAAAAAGAACCTTTTCAGAATGAGAGCAACAATGCTTTCATCATAGATGATATTGGAATCTTTGTACTCTGAAATATAATTTTAGAAAAAGAAAAAGTTAGATCTAAGAAAAACTAATAATGCACAAAACTGCACGAAATCAAGAAGGCACTTTATAATTTATATCCATTAATCACACTAACAAATGAAGTAAATCATTTAGTTTTCCAAGTAGCTCAAAGTGCAGTTAGACTTTTAGAATCAAACAGATCTTCATGTCATTGAAAAAGTAAGAAGATCAACTAAGAACATATTTCACTCTTTATAATGTCCATGTGAAGTACATTTCACATTATTTGCTCCAAGCTAGGAATTGCAACCTTTCTATGCAGTTTGAGGAAGATTGCACCAGCTTGTAAGTTGTAACCCAAATATTGCCCAGGAAGCTATGCACTTTAGGCTTAAATTACAATATTATGAAATAACACAAACATCACAACAGTTAAAAGTGATCTGACTAGCTTGTCTGCACAGCTTTGATAACAATCTTCCTATGTACACTGGAAAACATTGCATGCTAATGACACATTCTTAATTTAGAATCCAATAATGAAGTCATTTATGGTTTCTATGATAAAGCTTTTACTCAATATTTTCCAGCCCTATTAGTCCCTTACCCAATTTCTCGGCACCAAACTAGTGGCAGACCAACCAATTATCCAACAAACCAAGTACAAGAACAATGCATTCTTCAAAAGAAGAATAAGTAGACCTAATGCACAATGCATTGAGAAACAAAATATAACAATATGAGCAACAATGTTCAACAAGAAATACCTTGCGTAACACCAGGATGAAGAAGCCGACCATACACAACAGAAGAATTGAGGTTGTTAAATACTCTTAGGGGAAGCAGCCTAATTATAAGTAATGGACAAAGGCGCTCAAACAGATATTGCTGCATTCTCACAAAATCATCACCAATGCAGGTTCTAGTTTCCCATCTAGAGAAGGAACTTGCATCAATCCTACCAGTGAAAAGGACAGAAGGCATCCCTCAATGAAACAGTACAATAAATAGTAGATTAAAACTTTAAAGAATGTAATTTCAGCATAACATGTTTTGTCCAGGACATAAGTTAGAGTCAATGATTCAATAATGGGAGGAAGTCTATAAAAGAAAGTATGCTGTTGAAGAAAAGAATTATAACATTCAGGATAGCCTTTATTAGAACTTATGAGCTTACTCTTTCTGCCCTTTCATCTGCAACAAGACACGGTAAAGAACTTCATCTGCATTTTCTGCCAAGTGTTCGTTTATATGGCTTAGAAACCTGACAATAGTGGCATTGGATGGTTCTGCAAACATCTTGTCGATCAGAGGACCAATCAATGTTTTCCAATCTTGAACCTATAAAATGTAAGGCGTTTCAATTATTGTTTTCATTGACATGTGTACAAAAGATAAATGAAAATGATAACCCATGTGTGTTAACAGAAGGATCTAATTCTAATATGACATGACTGACAACCCTCACTGTTGAGCAGATTGATATAAATTGTCATTCCACTCATCTGCTACATTAAATAAAATTATCCAAACTTTATTTAAAAAAAAGTTAGAGAGCATATAGATGCAACATGTCATTCCACTGAATCCACTCATCAGTCTCACATCTGCATTCCATACATGAACACATCATGAAAAGATTTCTTAAAATATGTATAGCAGTGTAGTGGTACATAGTGTTCTTAGTTCTTACACTTTCAGACCAGTCTTGGATCATCTTGAGCACTCGATCACTATTAAAATTTGATTCTGCCAACATATAGTTTAGGGTCAGCACAGGACATGGTTTTTCTTCTAGTCTAAACAGGATAGTGAAATTTGAAAAAAACTACAATGCCCTTGCATGAATTGTTGATGCTCATTAAATTGTAATCACATTATGATAAGCAATAATACATCATGACAAAAATAGATGACAAGATTATGAACCCCTATGTGAATTGCAAATAGAAACCAAATGTAGGTAAAGTATCTAGTTGATTGTGAATTGAGTTTCCTTTAAAAGGAAAATAAAGTATTAGTGAGCAGGAAATTAAAAAAAAAAATTAAAAAAAAAATCTGTGAATGTGCCTTTGTAAAAATTAAACCACTAGACTTCCTCATGCATATTTTGAAGAATTTATTAAATGCTGCATTCCAGATGACACAGCAACTAATGATAAAAAAGAATATAAATTAGACCATTGTTAAAGCACTTTGACATGCAATGACACCAAAAGAGGCACACCTTCCCTTGCATGCCCTCTAGTCTTTGAATCATCTATGTCCTGGCTGAGGTTGCTGCAAGACGAGAGAATTTGAGCAGCATGAATAACAATAAGTTGGGTTCTTAAGTGGCTGCATCAATTATACTCTAACAAGTGAGTTAAAAGTAGAAGAAATCAAGCTACCTTAGACTGTCAAGCAACATACAAATAACATCAGGCTTCTGGTTATTATATTTGAGCACTCCAACTAAGGCATTACCAGCTGATTGCTCTATTTTCTTATCTGCAGAGTAGACAAGGCGAACTAATGTAGGCAGAACAACTGATGGGTCTGCAAGGAGAAAGAAATAGTCTAAGCAATAGCAAAATCTGGTGAGCAAATCACTAATATCTGTACAAGCAACACTACTATAAGTTTTCCTATAATACCAGACCCCATAAGACCAAATTTCCAAGCACTAGCTATGTAGCCTATATGAAGGTTATACCTACACTGACAGTAAAAAATGAAAATAGCTTAAAACAATCAAAGAGCAAAAGATAAGTTGATAACGGAGAATTGTTGTTTCTATTTTTTAAAAATTTTCTGATGTTTTTCTGATTTTTTTTAAAAAAATTCTCAAATTTTCTGAATTTTTGGAATTATTTGAAAAAAGAATTAAAAAATGGCACTCAAAACACCAGAGTAGATGGAGGCCTGGCACCTCATGGCACCCAGCACTTTCTACAACACTGAGGAACAGAAACTATATGATAATAGAAAACATGCTGGGTCAACAAAAAAAATAGAAGGAGGGGGAGGAATTCTAAGGAATAGACTAACAAGAACAAATACATCTCTAAGGAAAAAAATTAAAAAATAATAAAGCTCTTCAGAACTATGAATAGGGCAGAGAAGGGAACCATGCTATGGTTAATTGGGTATGGTTTCAGGAACAGAAAAGGACTTTTAGAGCCCAAGAGCCCTCCAAGGTTACAAGCTGACTGAGAAGAAAACTATGCTCTTAGTGATGAGAGGCCACACTTGTGAGTTGAGACATTCAGAAAAATCAGAGTGGTTTCAGAAACTTGTGTGTCCCATTGAGTTCAGCCAAAAATGCCAGGTCCAAACAACAAATATAAAGGCAAATACAGCAGGCATGTTCAGTCTTAGCAAATAAAGAATGTTAAGACTCAAGTTAAAACTAACCAAGCAGAGGAAGCAAATTCAATATTTGTTCTCGAACTGCAGTTTCCTCATCACTAAGGCATTCTAGCATCTTATTTGCTATCTCTTGCCTGAAATAGTTATAGGAAGAAAATCACAAAGAGTCCAAAGGTCAAAAACTGAAGAAATTTAAAAAAATTATGGTTTATAAAGTGATGCCATACCAAGTCAGAGGAGTTAGTCCACATCTAGAATCTGTTGATATGTGCATTAGTTCTGATATAACATCAGCAGCATTTCTCCTCTGGATAACATTTCCAGAAGCAAGGCGTTTTAGGACTTCCTTAAGACAGTTGTCATCTGCTGTTCTGGGGAAATTTTGATCAGGGTTAGGTTTTGAACCAAACTTAGACCATGAAAAGTAATCAACATTGTCATAATTTTTTTTTGATCTGCACAACACTTTCATAAATTAATAAACAGAAGAGAGAGGATACATGGAACAGTATTCTGCTATGAGAGCAGCAACAGCTTTAGCTGCACCATCCCGCTCATCAAGTAGGTGAAGAAGCAAAGGAATCACAACGTCCACCTGTTTGGTGTCAGGTAGACCACCACTCTCAGATGAAAAGTTTGGCTTAAAAACAACAGCCTTGAATATGCACACAACCCCATCTATTACAGCTTCTTCATTGCAGCGAAGCTAGCCAGAATCAAAGAACATAAAAACAATAAAATATGTCAAAGACAAAAAAAAGTGCCTCATTGACATGCTCAAACTATTTAAGATTTTACCTACAATACCAACATTGTTGCAGGACAAATAACATGTTCACTTTGTAACAAATGCTAAGATATAGAGATAAACACACTCCATCCAATACATGCCAGATAGGCCAGAGTTTTAGCTAATCTGTTCTATCAGAGAGCCAATGCCTCTCCATATTGTAAAAGTAATACCATCCTCATTCCAATTTTACATCCTCTTGGTTAATACTGGACTATACATACATAGGCAATGCACCATCCTTTACCCTGAAATACCTGTAGAAAGGGATTTCACTTGCAAGCTTTCAATGCTAACCACCATAGCACACAAGACATGACTCGCCTGTATCAATTTCCACTAATATCCTTCAATAGAACTTTTGTTTAACTGGAGCATATATCATCAAGATATCAGAATAATTACCTGAGATAAGAGAACCTGAGAGATCTGCTTTCCATAATCTGACACTATGGTTTCAAACTTCTTCCCATCAAAACGCCCTAGTAGAAGGCACAGGCAATTGAGGAAAAATTTCCTGGTCTCTATACCACCATCCTTATTCTCCGCATACCCCTCAGAATGGTTATCCGTATAATACTGCATTTTTCACTCTTTTGGTGTCAGAAATTTAGCAACTCCATTAAATGAAGCAGAATTAATTGAGAAATTCTCAAAATTATACGGTTAAATGCATGAATGTATCTATCAATATTGCATGGAAGAAGCTACAAGAAAAACACTTCTTTTATGGATAGAAGAACAAATGCATGTTGTCAGATTTCTAAATAAAAAACAAAGGAAATGCTCAGGCCAGAATAAATAAAGAAAGCCTGCATGAGAAAGTGGTCTTTCCCAAAACCTATTTGCCTCCTTGCTTGTTTCTTATTCCCATTTCCCAAAAACATCATCATGATAAACCCTACAAGTTTCTTGATCATATTGACAAGTGAAAACCCCTCAAGATCAGCAGCATCAAGAGGCATGCATGGCAGGGTATTAATTATGTCTTTCCAACGCTGATAAAAAAAAAAAAAAAATTTATTTCTTTCCAATTTATCATTATTCTTAAGTTCCAAATTCCTAATGTAATTTTGATTCAGATAGATAAAGCTGCAAAGTTAGTTCTTGTTCAAATGTTCCATGTTTTTATTTATTTATTTATTTTTTCCAGCCTCCATGGCTTTATTTAATCCATTAAACTTAGCAGTGTACTCACTGACAAACTCAGGCTATAACAAAGTTTAAAAATATTTGAACTTTAAAAGTACATCAGGAGACATCAAGAATGTCTCAGATGGCCAGTAAAAAATTAAACCTAAGGTGCATAAAAGTTTTCTACAAAATTATCAATTGCAGTAATTTGCAAAATAGATGCACTAAAAGATGCATGAAATACAGAGGAATTTCATCACATATAATTAGTTAGCCACAAATCCAACCTGGATGCCTGACAAGTACTGGTCCAATAATTCCTTGTAATGCTTGGCAAATTTGTGGTCTTCCAAGTGCAATAGCATGCCATAATGCTTCCAACATGAAACAAGGAGCAGTGCTCCAGATTTTTGGATCTTTGAGCCTGTTTTCCACATTAAAGACAAACTAATCACAATTAAGACTTTAACACTAAGCTTGCTTGTTTTTCCTTTTAAATAAATCACAATTAACACAAAATATTTATAAAATGCTAAAAAGCATGATTTAGGGTTAGGACCTGCCTCCTCTTTAAGTCCAGAATAATGTGCTTTTATCTCCTGCAACCATTTAAGCACCTTCTCCACCCCTTTAGCATGTAAAGGACGACTTTTTTTGTTCCACTGTTGTGCATTATAAATGCATTAAACAAATATTGTAGCCTTTTAGGATTATAATCTAATAGGTAGCCACGCAGTGTTAAGAAGTTAAAACTTTAAGCACTCAGCAAAATCACTGCCAAAATTTAGGAACTTTTGATTTGACATTTATTGTTTTAAACCATTTGAATCAACTCATTTCTGTAGAAACAAGAGAAGCATGAAGATCAAATTGCTAGTGAATAACATCTAAAAATAGTTAAAATACACTTATTGGTAGGAAACCCAAAACTTATATTGTTAGAAAACAAAGCAAGAAAAGGTACTACAGTATAGGTAATTATACCAAATTACGCTTGAGCCTAAGGTAACTTTTCCGTCTTTTCAACCTCATGTAGTGAGTCCTTTCTTCAGTCTATAAAATTACTTTATATTCATGAAAAGATAAAAAAATGAGGGCACATTAAATTGTCTCATCTCAACCGACTACTTCACACAAAAGTAAGGATCATAAAAAGTGAGGATACATAAAATTGTCTCATATAAACTGACTTCACACAAAAGTAAAGATTATGTTTTCACACTCATAAAACATCCAAATTGAAGAAAAATAGGAAGCATTCTGCTAAAGGAAAATGAGAAATGTGAGAATACAAAAATAGCAGGCATTAGGTGTGATGAGGAAAGCAAAATAAATAAATAAACAAAAGAAAGTAGACTGAATAGGTAACCAGGGTAAATAAAACATACAGCTAGGAGTCTTTCCACTAGATAGATGAGGTCTTCTAGATGATTCCAGAGCAAATATTCCATTTCCATGTTTAAGACTTCTGCAGATTTAGGAACTGATTTTACCATCTTCTCACCAATGCATGATGATTTTAGATTAATTTGCTGGTCAGATAACTTAGGCCTGCTTGTAGGAATATCAGGCTTTTTTGTCAATGCTTCAGTAAGCGCCAGAAAACAATCTGCAGCAGACACTGCAAGGCGTGATGGCAACTCAAATTTATCCTGCAAAGTGCTGAAGAAAAGAACCGTCAATAATGAAAGGGTCTCAAATTCCAACATTATGCTGAAAACACATTCAAGAATTTCCATTTTTCAACCACTGCCAACAGAGGTAATTATGACTAACTTGGGAGAAGACAATTAGTACCTTCCTTTACGTGCAACACCCAATAGATGTGAAATGCAAGAGCAAAGTATCTTCAAGAGAGCACTGTACTTCTCCTTTATTCCTATGGTCCACAAATAAAAAAAAAGAGAAAAATAGCAAAAAGGAATAGTAATTTTTAGTTGTTAGTAGTCTTTCTTTAGCACAGAATATTAGTAGACTCCTAAATTCAAAAGAACAATATGGTAAAATAAATGAAAGAATAACAACTACAAGAATTTTAATCTTCCAATAGAATCAATTCCTCCAAACTACAACATAAGGAAAGAATATTTTCAATCCACTAAGACAAGGCTGTAACCCCTAAAACAAATACATAGGGAAAAGAATGCAAGTACCCACAAACAGACACAAACATGTACTTATGCATGTGCAGGCTTGACCCTAATAGAGAGTTTCCATGGAAATAGAATATCAAAGTGGCCTCTTCACCATTTACTGAATACTGCTCTACTGTACTCATACTAACAAAACTCAGTAAATAACTACATACCCACACATTTTGCAAGGAAATAGAACAGAAAAGTTGCATCTGTACCATTTACTAAATACTGCTCCATAGTACTCTCATACTCTACAAGATTACGTACAAGAGTGCACCAGCCAAGAGCTATGTAGCGATCATCCTTCCTTGCAATAATGTTGGCAAGATTTGTAGAAACAATTTGGAAAAGAACCTCATCTTGAAAGAGCCAATTGAAAAGTATCATAGCTTGGTTACCATGCTTCGAGTCCTTGGATTTTAATGACTGAAAAACACAAACATGCATTGTAATTGTATGTTGTAATTACCATCAAGAGATTGGCCGAGTTAGTATCCACTAACTTAAAAACCTTCATTTGGGGTCAAGGTCAAAGATTCAAACCTCTATAGCTAACCTTCCAATGTACCAAAAAAAATTAAAATATTGTAATTAAACAACTGAAAAGAAAAAAAAAAGAAATCAACCCAAAAACTCTCAAACAAAACAAAAATCAGAAATGAAATAAAGTTTAGAAAAGATTGAAACTTCGCAAATTCACGAAACTAAATCGCTGAAAAAGAAGCAGAAATTTTCATGATGCATGAGGGTTAGCAAACAACAAAGAAGCAGAATTCACAGATGAAAAGTCCACAAAAAGGGCTTTTCGATTGGAATATTACATGTTCAATCATGGGAACGAGAATCTCATCCAACGTCTCCTCTCTCTGAGCTGCCTCTCTCACAT